AAAAAAAACATGTATACCTGTACACCTTCAAAATATCGCTTTTCCATTTTGCCAGCAACAGCAATATTTGACAGCTGTTGCTTGTATACCTGCCTAGAGTAAACAAGTTCCTCGAGAGAACCTGCTGCAAGAAGACGAAAAACAGTTACGTGCCGCTTCTGACCATAACGAAAAGACCGATCTTGAGCCTGCAAATCTTGAGCAGGATTCCAGTTTGGGTCGAATATTACTACCCGGTTTGCACTCACGAGATTTAGCCCAAGCCCACCAGCTCGAGTAGAAATGAGGAAAACCTGCAGTCCAAACTTAAGCTTACGACTTTACGGAATTCCCATTTATGGTAAAAACTGCAAAGGGATTTATAAAAGGAAACTCCAGGTGTTTGCTTGCAAGAAATGGACCTGTTTACTTGGACTTGAGTTAAAGTCATCCACGAGTGACTGACGCACACTAGTCGGAGTCGAACCATCAAGCCTCGAGAAGCTATAGCCTTTACGTATAATAAACTTCTCGAGTATATCCAGCATCCTGCTAGGATTAACATCCTTAAGAAAAACAAGTAAATCTAAATCTATATATATATATATGTATGTTAGCAGAGGTCAAGTGTAACATAATAAAACCAACAAACAGCTATACACAACTCCGACATAAAGTAGGATGAAAAATAATAGAAGGAAAAGCAATGAGGCAGTATTGGCATTTGAAAAGGATGTTAGCCTTCTTCATGACAATGTTTTCTTCATGACAATGTTGAATCGATATAAAATTTGATACAAGAGAGGAAGAAATATTAGAAGAGGTGACATTCCTTGCAGCTTTTACAACTAAAACAATGCAATGGGAAATTGAGTATAACATGAGGAGGACAGGACAGCAGTGATACTTTCAGAAACAAATTAAAACAAAAATATGTGGAGAATCGAGTGGAAAGGCATTTCACTCTCATTGGTTGAAGTACTTCAATGAAAATATTAGTTGACTGAAAGAATCACCTCAACGTGACGGAACAGCACTTGGGATCAGTTATTCTTTATGAAAGGTCAAATATATGGGCAAGGTTATAAGATAAATATCCTATCTGAAGACTAAAATCATGGTCACATGAACAAAACCTCAACATATCAAAGTTATTCTTTATGTCAGAATTCATGAGTCAGACCACATATTCCAAGTAAATTCAAATGTATGCAACAATGAAAGATCTTACATGTCAACAGCTACTGCAACTCAAAAAAAATATTCCAAGCTACAAATTCCTTAAATTATACTTCCATTCACAGGTAATGCAATCTTGATAACAACCCTTGATATCTTGCCCTTTTATTCAATATCTGTGAGACTGTTAAAAGAAAACACAACACATTCAACAAGCATCTATTCAAAAATGAATTTGACAGTAAAGTACTTAGAGCACAAAAGGTTAGCTTTAAACAGAAGTGCAGAATTCATCTAGCTTACTGGTAAAGTGTCAACAAAATTTACTGCAAGATCAAATAATTTGTAGCGTCTTTTTTCCTCACTTCTTTTAAGACTTAGTTTGTCCCCTCGTATCTGGTGTTTTACTACAAGTTATAAAATAAACCCCGAGCACAGCATTAGTTCAATGAGTAACACAGCTGAAGACAAACAAGAGTGATACTGCAAACTATTACCTCACTGAATAACTGAACAGAAGTATCTTGTCGCCCACAGAAATCCAAGAACACATCAACTTCTCCAAAGCTCTCATTTTTCCACAATGTCTAACATCACTAACACCCATGAAACTGTCATTCTGGGCAGTACCACCAACTAGATCAATATCGGTACCAAATACAGCAGAAGCAAATTCAGCATCCTTTCTTTGCTTCTCAGGATCATCCTTCGGGTTAGGCTTGATAAGCTCCAGATGGTTACTTACCTGTGAGATAGACAAATGTAAAAGCTCCGCTCTGTTGAAGGGTACAATCAACATTCTACAAACAGTGTTCATATTCCAACCATAAATAAAAAAAAAAATCGGTTCATATTTGATGCTTTTCCCTCGGTAACGATTGGCTAAGGAAGTAACACATCAAATTCGCAATCCAAATATACCCTTTCATAACTCACTTTGAAGATACTCTATTTCATTCGAAACAAGTAAATGAATGAAACATCTTTATTTGTTTATATAGTTTACTGGATGGATGTTAATCAGAAATGAAGCTTCACGATACTCCATCAAGCCACATGTAGCACTTAGTTGCTTTTTTTTTCCTTTTTTCTTTTTCCCCTTCATTTTTGCGAATGATTACATGGAATGTTGCTGTAGAGGTTATGGACTTCCAAACCAGTACACTGCTAAAACATTGTTTTGGGACAGAATGTAATGAATTCAGCTTGATACTAGAGTTCTCAATTATTTACAAGTTTTATTACTGTTCTAAATGCTTGAAGTTGAGCACGCTCCACTAACAGTTCGAAGGGTCTATTCTCTCATTTGCAGTCAAACGAAAATGTCGCTCACAATAGTATCAGCTAATTTATACAGGAAACCTTCTATGAACTTTGACAGAAGTGGCACAAATAATATTTAGTGCATGAACAAATATTTTTCGACAATCTTCAGGTTGACTTCAGTTTAACGATTATTGTCATAAAGTAATGTGTTGCCATAACCAATTTATTTCGAGATAGCATACATATATCCAAACACGAACTTAAAGAAGATACCTGCTGGAGCTTGACTAAACAAGGGAGAACAAGGCAGAAAGGGCAAGAGTCACACCCTTCTGGCTGGTCCCTGTGTAGATAAGGCCAGATGATACCATTTGGAACAGTTCTTTTGCAACATTCAACTTGTTTGAGAGGGCTTCCACAAGTACACGAACAGTCCTTGTTGACAAGGCATTGGATGTCGGGCAGCTGCAGCGTCCTCTGATAAACTCGCTTTTGTAACTCACTCATGGCACAAAATACAACATTATCTTCCTTTCCCAACAAAAGATGACCTATTGTTTCCTCTTTTGTTCTTCTAAGCATATAGCTCTGTAAAACTGACACTAAATGCTGTTTTCGTTCTTCAGCAATTTTAACAAATCGTTGTGGGGCACTTGATCTCTGACCATGCTTCAGAGGTTCGTCATAAAATTCACGAAAATGTTCTCTGGTTCCAAGTCCACCAGGTACCACCCAGTCAAATAGATTAAATAACTCCATTATCTTGTTCTGCATTACTGTCCCTGTTAGACCATACCGCTTAAGGGTTCTGATCTTCAAACATTCCGTATAAAGTTTTGATTTCTCATTCTTAAGTCTATGTGCCTCATCAACAATCACAATTTCCCACCGAATGTCTGACAAAGTGCTACCTTGTAATCTATATGTGTCAAAGCTAGTTATAAGAATCTCAACACCATCTGCTGTTAGTTTGTCAAGTATTAAATCGCGATTCGCGCCATGGTAAACAGAAACGCTAAACGTGGACCATTTGGAAAATTCACTTTCCCAGTTAAGAATGACAGAGCTTGGACAAATGATTAGTACAGGCCCCTTCTTGTTTACTTGCTCTCCCCTGTGAGGATTTATGTGCTTCTCAGAATCCTTTGAATACACAGCGGCCAAGAAAGCAATTGCCTGAATGGTCTTACCCAACCCCCTGATGCAAGTCATAAAATCCAGATGCACGAATTACAAGAGGCCAGAAAAATGGAAAGATAATGGTTAAAAATAACATGCATAAACAACGAATAGTGTATTGTTATAGAAGAATGTATGAATACGCCAAACAGGTGCAAAAACCATAAACGTACGCTCTAATGTTAACAAATCAGAAGATGAACTAGAACTGAATCAAATCTAAAGAACTTATCAGCACTGTGTTACACCATATGCAAAGTGCAGCATGTGTGGCTGACAATCGGGGCTCAGCCAAACGACCAGGCCCATTTCAGTAAATTAGGTTACGGGGATTCATTTATTATCTCTTAATTATTCATATACTCTCCAACAAAACCCTAAATCTCTATTTTTGCATATTCGCTTGCCTCTTTTAATCACTGCTCGGTACCCAAGATAGTTGTCATTTGAGGACATTTCACAAAAAGTAAGAAATCTAATAAAATGATGGATCCACACATACATGTGTAATTACTATAATATTTTGAAGATCTAAAAATAGCAAGTTTAGAAAGTAAAAGTTATGGTGCTTTTGGAAGTCTTAGCCAAAAAATTGTTCCTCTTAAATGACAATAATGTTGAGTCTAAAATGGGGCAAAAGGAAAATTGCTTTGAGATGGGAGGAGCACCTCAAATCATATAAGAAAGGATCAGCTGATCAAGAAAAAGAAACTACAGCACCCAAAAATTGTGAATTGAATTAATTTGTATATCATCTCATCTGTGCACGTAGAAGAGCGAGTGGGAGGGAAAGAAAAGGAGAGAGGTGATTTGCCTACTACATCAACTGGCTTAAGCAAGAAAAGAAAGAACCGCAAATATATGACTGATACTCCAGGATAAAAGTGAGAAATGAAAATGTGAATGGTGAAGCAACCAGTCAAATGCACTAGTCACTAAAATTAGAAATGAAAAAAATTATCATCTTCACAATCTAACAAATAAAGTAATAATGGAGACAACAGAAGAGTGACTTACATGTCATCACCTAGAACTCCTCCGTGGTTGTTCCTATACAATTTATACAAGAACTTTACCCCGTCACGTTGATGTTCCAAAAGTCTACTATTTATAGAAGCAGGAACCTGAAAATATGATTTATATAGTGAAATGGATATTCTGAGTATATTTTATATATAGCAAGGTAAACTAGAATTGCTACAATAAAGACTATCTTCCACTAATAGTCTAATATACATAGTGTTTCATTTATTTAAACCAGATTCAGAAAACTACAGAAGTCATTGGCATGTCTGCTTCCAATGAAATATAACAAACTATGGAAACTTTATCTTATAAAAACATTCTGAAAACAGGAATTGTTAAGAAACTCGACAAAATGATTAGTGTACTATCGCAATAGTCAAACCACCCCATACAGTCCAAAGTCTACTAGTACTCATCAATTGTTTATGGACAAAACTAACTCCGAAAGGACGCAGACCAAATACAAACATTTAGCAGAAATTCATATTTTATGCATAAGTTTTCTGTAATTACTTCCCACCAAATATAATATACAAATGAAAACAATATATTCATACATGTTGCAAAAATGCAAATAACTATAAACATTATACAATAAATCAAGCACAATCACCCAAAGCCCAATACCATACCAACTTCCATATGTATATGTGGATGCGTGTGGGCGTGTGGTGTCTGTGTGTTTTAGCATATATCTATTAAGATGTATCAAACCACTAACAATTTTCAATGTTTGATCTTTCACCAAAAGGAACAAGCTGACTTACCAAAGCACAATTCCATTGTTATTGTATCTGAAGAACATTGCATTAAGAAATGATAAATAGACAAAAAGCTCAGCCTCAAATTTGTTTCCCATCAATTTGACAATCATCACTCGTCGACATATGTCCCATAGCTACAAGGAACATGTGAGGTATGTAAGCCACTACCATTACTGGCATGAGGATACCTCTGCCTCGACCATAAACAATACCAGATACATTAAAACATCCAATTTCAACATTTAACCTCTTTCACAAATGAGAGATGATTCCAGACAAAAACTATCAGCAGAAAGTTTATCACACCTACCTTACCTAAAGATTTCACTATGGTTTCTAACTACCCCAAGGATTAAACATTGAGCAACTATATCATTCTATAGATCCTATCTTTAATTCGAAGACCCCTAACTCTAGCTCCTATGAATGGGAATATTCTGCTATAACCCTCTACTGTTAAAGAAAAAATAACGGACAATCATCCAATTATTTTTAAATAAACGTCTTTTCCAGCATAGATGTATATGGGTTGGAACGAAATATAAACATTACATATGTATTACTGTTCGGATGAATTCAACAGGTCTAAGAGGTGATATCGTATTTGTTTTTCCATACTTAACACAGATCCTGTATACCTCAAAATTACTTGGAGACATGAACTTTGAAACACATTTATTGCTCGACAACCCAAAAATTGTGATTCTATATTTTACTTGCAACACTATCTACAACACCTATAGTTAAAAAATTTCTTGAACCTAATTAACTTTCATTTATGTGAACAGGTCGTCGGGGTGCTTGTTTCTAAAAATCTAAACTTTTGATCAACAGTTCCTCACAAAATAATTCATTAATACGACCAAAATTCAAGTTTTCAGAAGAGATTGATACTTGGTGATCGATACAAATATCAAGATTAATAATAAAACAGAATGAATGTGGAATGTATGATATTAACCCTGATTTTAGTGGGAAAAAAAAAAATAATACCTAAGATAATTTACAGAAAATTAATATGCATAAAAGCAAACCAAATTTCATAAAACGAAGTAACAAAATATAAAACTTTCAGCATATGGGTTCTCCAAAATGACCTGCACGGCAGGAAGTTCGCCTGGCAAAGACAGAAGAAGAGGCTCATATGGTCCGGTGTGATCAAAAGGCTCTAACCTGATCTCCCTTACTCTATTTTTCTCCTTTTTATCCTCCTTCCCATCATTATTGTCACCTTCTTGTTCACTTCCACGATTGGAATTGATCCCTTCTTTTGAGCTTATTAGGTGGTCGACAAAATTTTCATCCTCAAGGCCCAAAATCTGCCGAGAGATGGAGGATTTAGGAGGCTTTCTTGTTGTAGTTGAGGTATCGAATTGCTGTGCAGAAGAATGTGAAACGGAGGACGATAACCTTGTTTTGCAGGGCTTGAGTGCCTCTTTGAAAGCGTCTAGTGACATCAGCACTGAGAAATTTTAATGGCTTCCTCCTTCGTGTTCAGGTTTTCATTTAATCGAGAGTAATTTCATCCCTCGTATGTTGTAATTTGAAATTAATAAGCAAACCGGAAAAACAATGTTGTTTGTTCTTTAATTTGTAAAATAATTAATATATTATCTCACTAACACATTTTATACTAATATAAATTTGATTTTAGTATATATTTATTCCTTGAAATAAGAAAAAATAACAGTTTTACTTATTCTAGTTCACCATATAATACTTAACTATTATTTTATTTTAAACTTTATTGTCATATAATGTCATTTTTATTTATAAAAGTTATAGAAGTTGTACGTCTTTTTTTCTTTTTGTTTTATGTAATGAAAAATATTTAATGCACGTTAGTGTTATTTATTTATATAATCAATTTAAAATATGTAAATGAATTTAAAATTAAATAGTGTATAAATATTTTACAAAATATACACACATGTCTTTTTCGAATTTAATTTTGTATACTAATTAAATAACTTTGATTTAAGAAATGCCAAAAGACTCAACCCCTTTTATAATCAAGATTTTTTTAATTTGCATTATAAAGATTTATAGTTTATTTAGTTTGAGAATGATAACATGATTTTTTGCGTAAGGATGTATGTGAGTGTCGGAATGAAGAGTGCACCAATGAATCCATGGATGAGCACCTCGGATTCTTTCCGTCTAACATTCGCTGGTTGGGGAGCAGTGGAGATGGCCACTCGACGATGGGGTTTGGGAAATTATGAAGGGTATTTTTATGACATGGCTTGACTATTTTATTTTCAACGATAACTTAAATACTAAGAAGGATACATACGAATAATCAACTGATTACACGAACACTTGAATGAATAGTGAGTCCCTCGACATAGTCAAAGTCCCCGCACAACCTTAAGGCCTAAGTTACAAATTCTCAAACACTGTAGAACTAAGAAAAACAAACAAGCAAGAAGAAAAAGAGTTTAACAAGACAAAGATATCCTCAACCAATACATAATTTAAAGAGCTGAAATTGTCTGCTATTAAGAAGCCTAACCATCTCTTTTTGATGCAATAAACAACATAGCTTCTATAAGGGTGAGCAAAACAACACAGAAATTGATAAACCGAACTGAACCGAATTGATGCGTTTGGTGCGGTGCGGTTCGATTTTTAAACCATTCGATTTTTGGTACGGTTTGAATTTTAGAAAATCGCAAAAATTTCAGTGTGGTTCTGTTTTAGCATGAACGGTGTGAATTTGACCGAACTGCACCTAAACTTTGATATGTCAAATAAAGTTGATAGTATATTACCTTTAACTCTTAAAGCCATACACGATTTTACATTTATAATTAATTAACTTAAAGTTGAAACATAAAGAACAATCTAGTGAAAGGTTGAAATTGTTGATTCTCGGATACGAAGATATCAAATAGGCTACATCAAACTCGCATTCCCAGTAACCCACGTTTGGTATTTAAAAATTCTTCCCAGTTATATTGCAAAATGGGCTACATCAAACTCGCATGCCAAGCCATCCACGTGTGGTATTTAAAAATTCTTCCCAATTATATTGCGAATCTGTTAGATAAACCCCTTAAAGAATAAGAAGACCTAGTATACTGCGATGTGCGATTTGATCCAAATTCTGATTTTACAGATTCCGAATGAGAAACTTTTTGTTTTTGCATTTATTTAATTGCATTAACTGAAAAACAAAACCACACCAAACCAAAAATTTTGATTTGGTTCAGTCTTTTCTTTCAAATTTTAGATTTTCGATTTTTGATTTTTCTGCATTTCGGTTCGGTTTTTTAACTAAACCTCACCAATGCAACCATTAGCTTTCTCCAACCTTGTTGAAATGCAGCCTCAAGTACCTACCTGACTGCAAAGAGTGTAGCTCCTTCTGAATTTCCCACAAAACACTATGAGCTGACATTTCCTTCTTTTCTTGTCTTTGCTGCACTGCAACACTTTCCAAGCTAATCATTCCAGTTAAGAGGTGTGGGCACTGACAGTTACAACAACATGTCCTACCCCCTTGAAAAATTTTATGTCACTAGTTTGATCTACCTTTAGTTTGCTCAAATTACTTAGCATCACCTGATCCTTTACAGAAACAAACTCCAGCCACTCTCTTCTGGATCCATCAACTTTGGACAGTTTAGAAATATTCTTTTGTGGGATTTCAACAATAAATGTGCATCTCTGTTTTTCAGAGTATCTGCAATGGTGGATTGTTTCTTATGGAATTATGACAAATGAAATGTACATTATCAATAATGATATGGCTTAGTGGTAAATAAACTTCCCAACCACTCCAATGCACAAAACTAAGCCAAACTGGAGTCGACTGTGAAGACAACTAGTTTCAAATATATGATACAGGATAAATGTAAGCTAGCAAGTGAGATTAAGTGACATATATTCGTCAGGTCTGATAATGGATCATTTGTCGCTCACTCGCTTCTTTATGTACTAGATCGAATCGAGAATTGGACTTTTTGTTGTAGATTAATCACAAGGGCGAACATCTTTTTCACCCGAAAAATAAGTTATACTTTCTTTTGCACACCACATTTTTTTTTCAGCCCAAATTTTGGCGAAAGGGATAGCACAATGATGGTACAATATGATTGGCACAATGACCACACTGTATGCATGATCACAATGGCAGAACCATATATTGCATCACACGATTGCATAATGACCATACCTTAATTGCACCACGTGACCGCATAATATTTACACAACGGTTGCACAATCAATTGCACTTTGTGAGGTGAAAAACATAACTTTTCAATTGACAGAGTGCAAAACTCAGTGCACTTATATTTGAGGGCGAAATATATACCTTCACTTAACCAAAATAATTGAAGTTTTTTTTTTTTTTTTTACTCATATCTTAGTGCTTGAAAGTTTGAAAGAATGTCACACGAGGATTATATTGCCCCTGATTTCTATGGTTTTGGAGATTTATATCACTTGGATTGTTGAATATCAAAAACATGTTACATGATTCAATCAGGGACGGATTTAAACAGAAGCCTGTAGGGGCACAACCCCCTGGAATATTTAAAAATATTTTGTGTATATATATACACATAACAAAAAATCTATGGAGCCATCAGATGGTTTTCTTATGGAGTCATCCACCACTTAATGTATTAACACATGTCCAATTTTTATTTATTACAGAACACGTGTCAATACACTATTTGTGAATAAGTGTGGATGGTTCCATAAGTCGAGCCATCCGATGGCTCCATAGCAAAACTGCACACACATAATTACACTTTTAGATATTTATTTTATGTACCTTAATATTATTATAATAAGAATATAATTTAAAAGTTAAATATCATAACTTTAAATATATGTTGGTTGAAGATCAATCATTCCGACTAAATATGTTAACGTGTTTATATTTAACACAAATTCTTATGTGAGGCGGTCTAACCATTACGTGGACTGATTTGTCATACTTTTCAAACAAAAATGCATACTTATAACATTTTTTAATAAATAAAAGTATGTCGACATAATGTAGTGTCTAACACAAGACCAACCATATATTTAAATAGTTAAAGTTTTCGTAACTCCAGCTTTTATCCCATTCTTAAAAAAGAAATTAAATTAAAAGATCAAAACTTATTATTATTTATTTAAATAAAAAAATTAAATTGTGCCCCTCGTGGTTGTAAGGCCTGCTTCCGCCCCTGATTCTAGTAACATTAAATTATGATATCAACAAATATTTAATAAGGGATCATAAATTTTTTCAATATAGTGTATAGATAAAATAAATAATGAAAGTGGGAATTCACAATTGAACTAATATGATCCTGTGCACATGCATAGATGTTTAAATTATTATAAGTTGTGTGCATATGTATAATAATGAAATTATAAGTTAAATAATAGTATCACATTTTCAAATTTTGTCATTAGTAAAACTGAACATCATAAAAGTATTCAACTTCATCATTATATTTATTGCATAGAACGAAATGGATAATTATTTTTTATTAAATTCAACTAATATAGTGTACAGTCTTGCAAGAAAAAATTAAATTTGGAGTTGGTGTAAATTTCTCTATTACAAAATATATATATATATATATATATATATATATATGAACAAATTAAAAGAAAACATAAATAAATAAAATATACGTTTTTTAATAAAGTCATAAAGATTTTTATTAAATGAACTATATTTAAAATTCAATGAAGTTTGTCAGCAATTATATATATATAGATTTGCACCAAATAAACATCGTTTTGAATTTGAAAAAAAAAAAACAAAACATTAGAGTAGGTCTATTTGTTCAAAATTTCTAAAAGCTTCATAAAATTTTGAAAATCTTGCTATATTTAACTTAAAATTTATAAGAATTTTAAAATTTTTAATTGTTTTAGATATTTATATGAGATTTAAGAAATGTCTGCTTGATGTACTTTATTTGAAACTAAGATTTGTTAGAATTTTTCAAAATTTATTGAGATTTCAAAGAAAAAAAATATATGTATATAAAGTAATGCTATAGAACCTACTTGAACGACAACTTGGATTACAACTCAAGCGTAAATACATTATTTTTTAATTTGTTTGATAATACCATTTTAACTTGAATTGTAACCCATTCATCCAAGGCTAAAGAGCATTACTCCTTCTAAATATATACTTATATAAAAAAAATTACTATTTACTAAATATAACAAGCAAAACAAATTTCAAAATTTCTAAATAAGGAAGGGATAGAAGTTTAAATAAAATATGATTGCTTTAACAAACTTGTAGGAAAAAAAAAAATCTTTAATTCAAATTCAATTGTTAACAATTTCCTAATAATATTCATGCAAATCTTCAATTCAAATTCAAATGTTAACAATTTCCTAATAACTTTCCTACAAAATTGGCCGCATAAATAATGATAAAATGGTACGAGTTTGCATCACTCATTTTAGTTATAAAAAAAAAAACTTAAATAAATTTTATTAAAAAATGAACTTCATTTAATTAACTTGCACTAATTATAAATACCGTCCATGCAAACAGAAAAAA